AATAAAATTGAGATTTTATATTTAATTCAAATAAACACGTTAATAAAGTTAATTTAATAAAACAAAATTAGATTTTTAGTGAGAAATACAGGTCAAAAAAACGTCTATTAAAAGTCTACTAGATGTCTAATACACGTCTTTCCGACCTGTCATTTCTCACTGATTTAGAGAGAGGATTAATATTACATATAATAAATCAATTAAGTTAATAAAGCAAAATTAATGCATTAAAATATTTTTGTTTAAATTAATAAAACTTGTTTTGTTAATATTTTTAATCGTTATATCAAGGAAAGAGGAATTGTAGGAAAGAAATGTTGCTAACAAAGACATTTGTTTAAGATAAATAAATTTGATTGGGCATATTTCAATCAAATATTTTTGTCATCGTAACAAAATTTTGTTTTTCTTCAACTAAACCATTTTTCCTAGTGGAGGAATATTATTATCGTTTTTTAAGCGAGATATTTCATTAAGTTTAAGATAAATAAATTTGATTGGGCATATTTCAATCAAATATTTTTGTCATCGTAACAAAATTTTGTTTTTCTTCAACTAAACCATTTTTCCTAGTGGAGGAATATTATTATCGTTTTTTAAGCGAGATATTTCATTAAGTAATGTATGCGCGAACTATATGCATCTTAATAGCTCGAGATGCGCTGCAATGGAAAATGCAACGACTGGGAATAAAAATCAGTACGGCGATGCAAGAAACCAGATGTAGCACTGAAACCAACGTTGAAAAGTCAAAGGTGCTGCGGTAAAACAAAAGATCAACATGACAGAAGAAAATCTGTAATGCAGCTGCTCTCGTTGCAAAATAAAATTCAATATGTTTAATTAATTATCGTTATATACATTTAAATAATTAATTATTATTATTATACGTTTAATCTCTACGAGTATTTCATCCCTCCATTATAGTTCCTCCACTTATCGTGCACTTAATAAGGGCGTTGTTGTAAAAAAAAATTTCGAGGACAAAAAGCTCTAAGCGTTTCAACCAACATCAAATCGATATATGATGCGGGAGATAAAAATTTTTACCTTTTACATAAGATACAAGTATCTGAAGTTATTCTTGACATTAATGTCGAACATACAGACGAGATCATTAATGCCTTCCTATTTTTATATAGTATACGTTACGTATGTAATGTACAAGTTTGATCAGTTTTCTACATAATACAATTTTTTTATCTAATGCGCATGCATATCTTTTATGTGCCAAACGAGATAACGATAATTTTGTAAATTATCTATCTCGTTCAGTAAATATGCATGCGTATTAGATAAAAAATTGCACTATGTGGAAAATCATTAAATATGAAGTGATTTTTTTCTTAGTAGATACGCCCAAGAATTGCAGTTTGAAATATGAAAAAGACGAGCTTTTGCAAATCGCATACAAATGAGTTCTTTAGCTTTATATTAAAATTTTAATAAAAAGAAACTATGAATCAGATACTTAAACTTCAAACGCTGATGAATGATTTACAACTAAGTTGTTCCTATCGTTACTCTATTGTCATATTCTTTTAATATAATTTTATTGATTTTATATTTGAACAGCGATTCAATTTGCGGATATAAGAATATTTAACTTCAAAGCTTTAAAGAATCCGAAAAGAATAACTTTCTAATTTTTACTAGCAAAAAATCGGCTTTAAATTTATCGAAGAATACGCTAAAAGGAAAAAGAAATATTTGATATGCAAGGTGTTGAGATGTTTGATGAAATAATATTAAAATATTAAATACTGTACATACATTGCATGGAGAGGCGTAGCGCATAGAGAACTTTTTCAGACAATTAAAAAGAATAACACGTTCTGCATTACTCTGCATTATTTTTCTCGCGTTACACGGCGTAAAATATTTTTAACGAAAAGTACCGTTTCATATGAATTATTGAGTGTTTGCTGCATCTGGCACACGTGATGCTTATACATAAGCTAGAAACGCGTGACAACCGCAAGAAACTGACATTTTCGTATAAAGAAATGAAGCAAGCGAAAAGCGGCGCGTGCTTACAAGATCGTTCCTTTCGATTTTGCATTTTACAATATTATTTGCATTTCTAGATGCGTACACAGGATGACGCCACCTAAATTATGCTCTGTGAGGACTGTGCTCTATGAATGAGATGCCCCGTAACGAAAATAGATACACTAAGGGAAAGTATATTAAACAAGCACAAACTCAAACGCGTAATGAGTATGATACTTTGTCAGGAAAGTACAGCACGGCACGATGTTCATACTCATTACACGTCTTTATACATGCTCAGTTTGGTATATGTATATTTACCTAATATGTTTTTCTTCTAGTTTCAAGTTTTGAAATTATCAAGCATATATTGTTTCTGAGATTCCGTTAAATTAATTGTTCCATAAAATATCTGTTAATTTTTATATAAAATTTGAAGTATTTTATTTAATCAATTTAACCACAATTTAATATTCCTGTTCGTCTTTTTTGTTAATAAAAAAAATTTTTTTTTTATTTATCAATATGTAATCTCTATTTCTTTATTTTTAACTTCCTTAGCTTCTTATTTTGATAAACTTGTTTTTAAAATTTTCAAACAAAAGAGGTGCGCTTTAATTTCTACCGGCATAAATTTTCGACCAATTAGTAGCTATAAGATGTATATTAAGAATTTCCCGCAAACCAAAACAAAGATAAATAACGACTACGAGATTAAATAGCGGGGAAACACAGCGAGCTAAAGAGGATGAAGAGATGAGAAAAACAAGGAAACAAATTGAGTTGTTTGTGCAGTTGTGGTCCGAATTACTGAAAAACCGATGTTTAAACACCGTCGTACATTACGGAGGCGACGGTAATAAATTTACAGTAACTCTTCAAACACTCGATGAACATGCGGCGATTTTGCATAAAACTACGCGCCGTCCATGTAAATGTCGGTCTTCCACGCTCAAGTCTTTCCCGCATTCGATTTTCAAATTCCCTTGCAGAATTCTATCATTAATGACGAATTGTTCACGAAACTAACGATCTCTCGTGAAATTTTAAACGTTCCTTATAATTAAATCAATAATTTAGAAAATAATTGTGTACCAAGATAGCACATAATTCACTGGTTCACAAGACTTGTATTTATTTATTTATTTATTATACGAACTTAAATAATGTAATAATCAATTTCTAACTACCACTATTTTCGAGATAATTATTTTAGGCGATTTTGCTTGAAACCTAATTTGAGGTATTTGTCGTAGCACGCCTTCCTTTAGCACTCCGATTTTTCTTAGTCAACTGGAATGCCCTGGATCGTCAAGCTATGATAATAGGTAGAGCAAGATTCCTCGGATACTAGAATCCAATCTTATTTCAAATTCAGAAAAGTAATTGAGGTTACAGATTTTATCCGTAACACCTGTTACAAATTTTCCCGACTATAAAACTGTTAATTATAAAATAAGCCCCCTGTTGTGTCGTGTTTTCGACATTAAGATAATAAATTTGCATTTGCAATATTCTAGCGTGGCCGTTGCTAACAAAGAAAAATGGGAACTAAATTACAGCATAATATTTTAACGAGGTGGTTTTCCCACAGGTTTTACTTCGGTTACTCGATTAATTATTCAAACCCAAACTAATATCATTTGTGCAATAATGAGAGTCACTATCAAAGTTCCGATAAAAAATTTATGCCATATAGTGTGCATCCAGTTTGAATACACTTCCATACACCTTTGTTCTAGCTATCTCTAACTAGAAGATCATCGATAACATAATTTGTAATATATAATTGACATATTGTCACGCGTAGAATAAATTATGTTCGTTTTTTTTTTTTTAAAGCTTTCAAATGCCTGTAAACACATAACAATAGTGTTGAACACAACTTTAACTATTATTGAATGAATATTAGTATGACGCTGAATATTTATGACTTACCAAATGAGTGACAGCCAAATTTATGCGTAGTGATCACAGTTTACATATGTCACGGTATAACAAACTCAAATTGCGATTAATTAATATCGTTAGCGCCATCGCGTAAATAACATGGCTGAATGCAAATAGTTTATTTATAGTATGTCTCATATAATATTTACTGCTGCGATAAATGACGCGTGAATATTATGTACACCGTAATTTAAGCGTCGATGGGTGCATCGCGTTAATTGTCTGCATATTCACGGCTTGTAAAGACTTCATTAATTAAAGTGTTCGCGACAAAGCAAGATGCTCAAAAACCAAGTGCGTCGCGTGCGTGTAAAATATAGTTTTACATAATGTATATTTTGCATCGTCGATATATAATATGCAATTTCCCGAAGCACTTTCTCAACGTGAGAGATGAGTGACTCAGTGTGAAAGAAGAAGCTTATATCTAGCTGTAAAAGTTAACTGCGGTTAAAACGGTTTGTGAGTTATTTAAATTATCTAAAAATTAGTTGCGTAACAAACGTTTAATTTATATAATATATTTTATACGTGTGTTTAAATGCAATGTGTCAGAAAGGCATCAAAATAGATTTTCATAAGCTGTGAAAAATTTTGCGGTAGCAAAATAGAGAAAAAATTAATTGCAGTATTATCAAATCTTTTTGCTGTCATGGAAGTGGTTGATTCATTAATTTTATACCTAATCAAGGTTGAAAAAATAGTTTCCACTTGTGTATTGTCCTTAGTATTATAAGCTAATTACCTACGATAAATTTACCTATTTATCGTTCGTGATATACCATTTGTGTATCATGTGCTTGCGGATTGTTGAACTGATAATAGGGTTTAAACGGAAACTAGGTGTACGTGATTAATTCACTGGTACGTAGATACGTAATTGTTTTCTGGCGAGCGTTGCGAAACCACAGTCTGTCGCTATCATATCCCGCGTAAAAATATTCATTGCAATAGATTTGAATAGTTAATATACTCGTAAAAGTAAAGTGCCGAATAAAAATTTAGTGCCAAATACCGCAATGTTTCCATCAACTTTCATTCAAATTACAGACACGTACCGGCGTCGTTTTTTATCCCAATTCAAAACTCTTGCTGCACTTTTAATAATACGTTGAATATATAATTGGAAGAAACTTTTTATAACATTTTACGGTCTCGTCGTGAATCGCACGAATCTCAAGATCGCACGGGCGCATAGGAGAACCGTGTTTTCGGCACGAAGATCGCGCGCGTACTGAAAATCCCAGCAACCACCCCCATCGACCCTCACTGTCCGCCTCCGTTCCAATACAGACAACGGTGTGTATGTAACGCGTGTAAAACGCATGAGCTGCCTGCCTATTCGGAGATGACAAAAGCAAGAATCCAATTATGAAAGCACCGCAAAATCTAGTATTCCTTTTACGAAATTTTTTGTTTATTGCTTTTTCATTTATCGTTTTTCGATTACACTCTATTATAACTGACAGAAAGTATTATTTTTGTGACGCTAATATCTTTTAACCTTACGAGCAATGAATTCATAAATGCTATAATAACTGCACATTCGACGGTCATTATAATTATTAAAATTTAACCCATTGAACGCGCCTTCACAGTAATGAAAAATTTTTGAAGCTTTCCTTTCACGTGATTAAATCTCCCATTTATATGTTACGATAATAATAAAATAATTATATTATTATAATAGCAAATATTTTAATTGCTAGAGTAATAAATCATACGTGCTTTATCTATTTTGATTTAATACCGAAATTTGGTTATATGCAAAGTGAATCATTCTCTCGATATCAATTGTTCCGTTAAGTACATAAATACGAAACTTTGGGAACCTGCATTTATGCCGGCGCGCGTTCAATTATCGGCTACAACTCTAACAAAATTGTATGCGGACTATAACAATTATACTACCTTTCATCTCCTATTTAGAATATAGCGTTACTCACATTAGTTTACCTGCGTCAATTGAGTTCGATCAGTGATTAGAATATCAATTGATCAAATGCCAATGAATAAACTGCGAGTCGTTATAAACTCTTAAAAACACGATTTTAATCAAGTAATTACCTTGCATATAAACACCTAAATTTAACAGCCCTTAATATCATTCGCAATACACAAAATATATTCTTGAAAAAGGATATGTTTCTTTCTTTCAATTGACAGATATCCCAATATTGGCAACTGCATTTTGTAAACTAAGCCCTTTATAATTTGACAATTATAAAGCTAATGATTTAACGATATGTGCTTATCGATACATAAATATTTCAATCTCAATAAAACGACAAAAATACATTTTAAATGATGATTGATTCTGGCACATGAAAGCGGGTAGTCAAAAATCAATACTTGTAGCCTACTTAAGAACTTTATAAAATCCGATTGGAACTATTGGAAATTGTATGTTCTATACTTTTATATAAATAAATTGTATAAAAGACCGTTTTCAGCAAAGATCTTATAAACATTTTACGATATTTCAGACTCGTTCGGACTGCGCAGTCCGCTTTAAATATGTCCTATATTCATTGCTTTTCCAAACGTTCGATCATTGTCATGCTTTAAGAACACTTTGTACCGCGATAAAAAAAATATCCTGCGTTGGAAAAACTGTTTTATCACTCGTAATTTTTAACGTTACAAACTGTCCGACAATGTGTATTCTTGCTAATATACAATATATTACCAAGTAATGTAATAAACCAAGATTTAATTCTATCGCCATTGTCTTCAGTTTATGTAAATGTGAACATTTTGACGAGATCCTAAATCCATTTGCTTGACCTTTTCAATGCTAAATTAGAATACGGCCATCGCACCGTTGTGTGCTGACTTGGGAAAGGCAATTTTAAGCACTTCAGAGCTATCGGCCGGCGAACAGATAGAGACGCAAAATGAGAAAGTATTAAAAGTTTAATAATGTTTCAGACCAAATTAATCTCCTTGCTGGCTAATTTGGAATCGATAATTTCTTCATAACCGCTGCTTGTACGACAAATATATCACAGACAAATTTACGATCGCCGTCGCGGATAGATTTCAAACAACGATATTTCGTGAGGCAGCAGAAATTTCACTGGATTTATTAAAACTGCAAATTGCGGATAATATAGTATATCGTGCTTTATACCACGAAGTACGATATTAGCAAACACGAAGTAAAATTTGTTTGTCGTAGAGCATAATCGATACAGTTTTCGATGGTATGTCAACTGATTTTGTGAATATTAACAGTCTTCTCGCTTTTTTCTTTTTTGGATATGCGCGAGCAAAAATATATTATATTGCATTAAAAGTAGGTGTTTGAGAAACATGAGACTTGAACAAGAATGTAAACAGCGGATGAAAAATTGTAATTGATCGTAAAATCGTCATAACAGATTGATAAATTGATCAATAAAAATTACGTGAATATTTAAAATATCCCCAAAAATCACACTGCTAGATATCCAACTTTATTTTTGGATTTTCTAACATATCACTGGTTTGTCTTATTTTTTCAAATAGTTTTGCACAACTTTGATATAGCTTATAAAAAATCTATCTATACGGTAGCTATAATATCAAATCAGTATTAAAATTGCACAACTACGTGCAAAATTGCAGAGTATAGGAAGTAATTTGCGATATTCCCAGTTTCCTTCAGTATTATCGATCCAGTCCATTCGCGTTTTATGGAATATATTAATATAGAACACACTGATATATCGTTTTTGAAGCGAGTATTTAAAGCAAAATATAAATACGTTTGATTAATAATAAATTTGATTCGTGCGCTTATCACTTTCAAAAGTAAAATAAATTCAAAGAATCTTTTTAAAAATTAATCTGTCTACAAATGAGTTTAATCTGAGATCGGTCACGCTAAAGAAATAGCATTGAATCGATATTCTTCGTCTCGGGAATGTAGTATATTATTAAACATATTTGTAACACGTTATAAATGTTATTGCAGCAAAAGTCATACATATAAAGTTGTTTTAGAATAATCGATTTAGAATTATAGAATAAAAAATTGTTAAAAGTAAAATTCTTAAATATCAGTACGTGTTAAAATGTTAATATCACGTGCTAAAGTAGTTTGTCTCAACGTCTGATCAAACAGCCACACAAATTCTATTTGTCTTTTATAATTGCCCGAGAAAAAATAGTATAATTGGTCAGATGTAAATAAATATAATTAGTTATGAAAAGATCTGATAACATATGTAATTTTATATGATCATATTATACCATTTTTTCTCGGGTGTACATAAATCCAAAATATAAAATACAGAAATAAATTACATTCATATATATAAAATTATATTGAAAATTATATTCTGAGAAATTATATTTTTTTAAATTAATTTTCTAAATTCAATTTTTTAAATTAATTTTTATAAAATTTTCTTTTTTATGTGTGTGATTTATACTTTAGAAAACTTTTTACAATTTAAAAATAACAAATTCCAAATATGATTTGTGTAAAATTTGATTTTTTTCAGTAATAAAATAGAAGAAATAATGTTTTATTATTTATTTGTAAAAATGTAAATTGCAAACAGAATAGTAATTCCGTTATGTGATCACGTCAAAACGTGATTCTCAGCAATTATATAATAAAACCAATGTTTATGTACACACAGAGAAAATTTTATATCAAAAATTACTATGTACAGAATTAACCGCGGACCATGAAGTCGCAAACTAAAAATTTTTATTATGTTTCACATGTAAAAAACATAGTAAAAATTTTTATAATTCCTTCATGGTCCGCGGCTACTACCGTACATAGTAATTTTTTATATAAAATTTTCTCCGTATATATATATAAATGTAATTTGCTTTTATATTTTATATTTTCGATCTATTTTGTGGTTATATCAAAATCTGGAACGTTACCTTATTTGAATTCATGGCTTTGCTTCTTGATGATCCATGAAATGCCGTTAATTGCGAATATTGGCCATAAATAATATGTCCTCATAATTGTTTATTACTTTAATCAACACACACACACCAAAAAATCACATAATTCTTATCATACACTTTTAATGTGCAATTAATTTTAAAGTGAATATTCACACTTTAAAGTTACAAACCAACGCGTCGAGAAAAACTAATTGTAGCTAGTAAACTAGTACAAAATGTATCCGAGAGAGGCGCTACTGTTCGGCACGCGCCAAGATCTGTATTTTGATAATTATATTCGCATTATTATAAATAAATAATAAAATACGAAATTACTTTTTATTTTAATTAAGCATAAATTTAAAAATATCGAATTTTACACAAGTTGTGTTTGCAATTTATTATTCTTAAGTTTTTTTTTAAATATTAGATTTATTTATCAATCATTACAAAAATGTACAATATTGTATATATAAATATTATATCTCTCTGTGTATTGTCAGGTATAAAAATATATCTAGCATTCATTACATTATGCAGGATACAAAAAAAATTCAAATATACATACATAAACATAAAAAACATAAAAAAAGTTATTACATAACTTATGACTCCTACTAAATTAATGTAGAAACTTTTATAACAAATGTCGAGCATCAATAGTTTTTCACAAATTATGATCATAGAACAAACATGTTTACTTAAGTCTGTAGGAATCTCATATATCCTGAATAAGACTTGGGGAGAGAAAAATCATATCTTTTAAGGATAATGCAGGCAATCGAAATACTTATTAATCTTTCTATGTTTTTTAAAACAATTCAACTTTATGATTATACTAAAAAGTTGCTATTAAAAATGATTAAATATTGATTTTTATTATGCATTTTGTTCTAAAAGCCTAAATTTGACATATTTGAAATTAAATAATTTATAATATTACGTATCTAGATGCAGTCATTATTAGTTTCATCCATAATATTTTCAAAATCAAAACTAAACTTCTTATCTGTTTGATTGCACATTTGTAAAAGCTTTCTATCTGATTCTATTTGTATCCTTTGATTAATAGGGATATACGATTCCCTTATATTGCCAAATTCATCATCAGAATTATCTGATTTTTGTTTTTCATCCTCGAGATAAATATGTTCTTCATGAATAGTGGATATCAAAGATTTATCGTCAACATTACGTTCTTCTGCAAATTTTTCGATAGATCCTGTACGCTGGCAATTTTTTATACTAACTTGAAAAAACTCTTTACTACATATGTTTTCTATTACACTTGTCATATCTAAATCGTTATCTTCATTTTCGCTCATAAAGTCATCGGGAGAAAGTTTATTAAACATCCTATCGATGCTGTTATTCAACCTTGAATTTATTTTCTCTACTTCTAGTACTTTTTTAAACTGTGGTCCACGTTTCATTTGGTTTATATCTATGACTGCAACGTTTTCAGACATGTCCTGTATTTTTAATTTATTTACTTTTCTCAAATTATTTTTGTTTTTCGGTCTTTTTGGTGTGATTGCCATTTTCTCAAAGGAATCTTCTAACGATATACAGTGATCCTTAGACATGTATTCATCTATCTTCTTATTATTTTTGCTCCTTAAAATTTTTTTTCTTGTTTTGTTTTCACGTGGTTTTGCGACACTTTTTATTTCACTATTATTTTCTTCTACATTTATTGTAGTTTTCTTTTTCCGAGAGTTTGCAGTTCGTTTCTTCGTTTTTACATTTCTAGCATTTTCAAATACCTCAACTAACCCTGGATAGCATTTTAAAACCAAGTCCTGTGGTTCAATGCTTGTCAATAAATTATTTTTTACGTCATCGTTATCATCATCGTTTACTTCTTTATATTCCTTTAACATTTCTATTGCACAATGCTCCTTCTTCCAAATAATTTCATAACTGGCTATAGACCTGATATTACGTATCTTCTTTATCGTATCAGGAATAAATAAATCTGACATGGACAAACGTTCATTAAGTGTAAGTCCTGGTAAATGTAAAAGTTGCCATCTAGTGGTTAATGTAAATATTTTCTCAAATGCGTATTGAGGTTCCCAACATAAATGTTTTTCCATAAAATCCTAATACAAGAAGAACAAACTAAAAGAAACTGTTTTAACATATTACACTGTATGTAAAACGCAATAAACTTACAATAAAATGAGTAACTTTAGGTTGATTCCATTCTATATCCAACCTGGTTGGAACTGAGTCTTTCCTAATAAGAAATTCTTCTATTAACTCTTGGTTTGGAAAATTTTGGTCAGTGAGTGCCTTTTTCCTCAATGATACTTCATTTAATATCAATGTCCTCTTTTCTCTACATAGAAATATAAAAATATAAATTATTAAAAATATAAATTACTTTTTAAAAAACATAATACATAGCAGTAAGTAATCTAATTACAATTTACCTAAAATCATCATTACACTTTCTAACAGTACCACAATCTGCGCAACCTGATTTTGTATGCTTTTGTAATTTTCCTTGATGACCACACGATGTACATAAATTTGGATTTAGTAAATTTGATTCAACTGTGTCTAAATTTGTATCAGTTCTCCATTGTTGAATTCTAAAATAAAGATAAAAGAAAAGTAGTTTACATATTAAGTTATCAGTATCAGTAGAATTGATTAATACATTTAATATTTCAACCTTTTTAAGATATCTCTATCATCTACGATCTTAAAAAATTTTAGAGCAGCCTCTTTCCCCACACCATTCACTCCTTCATCGTAATCACAGCCACACAATAAAGCCAATGCTATCATTTTGTTTCGTCCTATGTTCAATGTCTTTTCTATCTTATCCATACTGTAGATGTCTACAGAACCATTTGTAGCTCCACAATTTCCTTGAGTACTTGTACAAAAGTTTCTATAGACTGTTTTTGCACCATACAAGAAACAATCACTATCTTGGCTTATACAGCCATCAACAAGCTGAAAATATAGTTTCCCTTTTTAGATAAAATTGATTTATCAAGAAACGTATATTAAGTATATTAATTTACCCCATCTTCATTTAAGTAAGCACACATAGCTTCTGCTTCTCCTTGACCCTGTATGCAGATAATACCCATATATCTCAACATTTCTTTACATTCATTTAGAATTCTATTAAACTGAGTTCTGCCTCCTTTCTTTGCAGTTTTCCTTTTCTGAAATCCGTTACGAACATCATTTCTATGTGCAATGGTTTTATGTTTGAGGATAGGTGCCTTTCCCTCCAGTACAAACACTGGAGATATTCCTTGCATAAGAAGAAATGCTGTACGAAAGTATAGATTCCTACAACAATGTATATAACATTAATCATATGCAATAGAACAAGACACTGCGTAATGAAATATAGCGTATCAATATAAGATTATTCGTCATTTCACTAATCTTTTCGAATCAGTGTGAATTAAATAAATTATGCAAAGAAAATCATATGACGCATGTGTAAACGAATGTACCTCAAATACATCTTTGGCTGTACTGCATTATCAACAATTGTTTGACTATCGACAACCCATCCACTTAAATCGATAGCAATTGTCTTTCCTTGTAATTCGTATAGCGGTTTTTTCTCGCACAAAGGCGACAAAATGTTCCACAAATCCTTCACACCCATTTTATATTATACTTTGAATTGAATCTGTCAACGTGCATCTTCCATGATGGAAACTGTGGACAGCGCCACGGCGGCAAGCGAGCAACATGATTGGAGCCAAACCTAAAAACGGTTCGAGTCTTGGCTGAAAATGACTCCGAGCCGAGAGAGAAAGAGTCTAGGAGTGATGTTTATTCTGTCTCGCACGTTTATCTTAGGTGATTGCGCATGTGTGCGGTATCCTCTCTATTCACGCTGCTTGTTTCTGCGTCTCAAATCTGGTCACACTGGCGCCGTCTCGTGTGAATGTAACGATTACTGTATTTTCACTATCATATAGTTAATATTAATTCTAAATCGAGTCTGCTCATCGTCAATCAGTTTCTTTTTAATTATTACAAGTTCTAACTATTTTATATACGAACATATTGTTTTAAAAACATTTGGAATGAACATTTAGAAATGTATGTTGACAGGTAAATAATTCCACGTGACAACTTACTCCGATTCGTGCAACAGAACATTGTTCAAAATAATTTACAAATTTGCAAATCATCACAATTCCAAGATGATATTTATAATTTATAGTTATCTTCAAAGACTTGCTTATTTAACTTGTAATCATAAATAATGCTTTTGTATTTTTAGCACACATCTCGCTATTGAGATTAAAATTGAAGGCAATAGCAAAAATGAGATGCCTTCTCTGCAATCAAGGATTATTTATATTTTATAATCTAGCGTGAGAAGCAATTTTTGTAAAGAGCATTGGCATAAAATGGCTGATAAAAGCATCAGTGGCAGTCCACTGCCAGCAGAAAAATTACCAGAATGTTGGAATCAGGAAGAAAGAATAAGTGCACTGTTTTCGCCATTTCGCAGTAAATCTGCAAATCCACAGGATTGGATATCTAAATACAAATTCTGGAATAATTTGATATATGAATGGCTGAAACATACTATGCATTGCAGTTTTTCTATTGTTGATTTAAATGAAGTGTTCAAAAGGAAAGGTTGCGCACCTCTTTGTCTGGTTACCGTAATTGAGGAGCTTCTTAGGTATCGTTTCATTATTAAACACATATCAAACCTTTTAAATAATTTTATATTAGTTGTTAATCAATGAATTATAATTATTTGTAAAAAAATTAAAAATAAGATACATTGCTTAGTGTTTTAATTACATTTTGGGATAATACATACATATACATGTATATATTTAATTTTGCAGAAATAATGAGATAATTGAAGAGACTGATTTTTTTAAAGAACCATGTGAAACATGGACAGCATGGTCCGTTGATATATTTGTGAAGAAACCAATTAGCTGGTCTTTTTCTAAAGTAAAGAATTATGTAGTAGGCCAAAATACAAATAAGACAGAAGTGAGATACGTATACCTGCGAATGGTGCGAGAATTAGGTGACATTATCCTCTCTATTGTTGAGATTAAAAAAGACAATGTTTTATTCCCAATTTCGGAAATACTAGAATATTGCAAGAGCAAAACAAAAAAAGAAATTTCAGAGAATACAGTGCGATTAGTGTTGGAGTGGTTAAGACGTCAGAAAAGAGTTGCTTTTAGAAAAAGTTCTAACCCAAATAGCGAATTATTAGTTAAAATCTCCACACAAACAGTAAAAGACATTACGGAGACAGAAGAAAGCATGTATAAGTTATTGAAGCAGGAGAATAAACTAATCAAGGAAATAGAGTTTATGGAGCAAGAAAAACTTAATATTGTTAGTGAAGCAAAATCATATTTAGCGAAAGAATTGCGTCAAATGGCAAAAACACGTTTAAAGAGAAAAATGGAATTAGAAAAGACAATAGAAAAGCGCGCGCAAGCTCTTGCAAATCTGCGTACTCTTATTACCAGCATTGAAGATGCACATTCTAATTCTGCTGTACTATCTGCGTATAAAACTGGGTCTGACGTATTGAAAAAGATGGGGAAGGATGGTTTAACGGAATTCACTGTTAGAGACGTTATGGACGACATTAATGAAGTAAGAAATTTGTATATATTAAATATATGCATTAATCGTAATATAAAAAGAAACACACTAATATATTTAATGATTAGGCTTTAGAAGAGAAAAAGGAAATAGATTCAGTTTTATCCGAAACACTGAACAACTCTGACTCTGATCTCGAAAAGGAATTAGCAGAACTACTGAATGAACAAGATGTAGAGGATTCTAATACAGTTTTTGAATCAAATCCAGAGGTTGAACAATTAGAGCAACGTTTGAAACGGCTGTGCACGGAAGGTAAATATTATAAGATTTTATTTTCATATTTCATATAAAATAATGGATTGCATCATACAGATTTAGCTTCACCTGGCAACAACATAACTGCACTACCATCTGTGCCATCCCATAAAGATAAGAAAGCAGAGGAATCTCAATGGTTGTAAGTTTTAAAGAAATGTTTTTTCATATTTATACAAATGTGTAATGGTCAAAAGTATTATGAAATGATTTGTCTCTTATTTTTTTCTCTTAATATTTTAACGATACCTTGTGTTGAATATTGTAAAAACAACGTTTGTCATGTAATATAAGATACATTAAAACATGTTCTATCATGTATTAAAATAAACTAAAGATTTTTATCAAAATTACTTTGTATCTCAGCATATTAAGTTAAAATTAAAGATATGTAGCAACAGATTTGTATTTTTGCTTGTACTATTCGTTATGTTGTTTATCTGTGTTTATATTATAAAGTAATAATAGATAGAATCAATTTTACTGATAAAATTACAAGCGTACAATTATTATTATAAAATTAATCTTATCATCTTTATCACATATGTGAAAAAGAAACGTCTTCAAGTCTTCAATAATTTCATTCAACAAAAAATACAGATAATTACCAACAGTGTACACATATATGGCACAAAAATAATATATTTTTTTTTAATTTCATGATTATGTGTAACAATTGATAGATTATGCGATTTAATTGACAGTCAACTTGGAAATCTATAATATTCAAGACTTATTCGGACATGATGGATATGGCCGATTTTGTTCTAATCTTGCAATTACATCTTGTATCCATCCTATATGGCTAAATACTCGTGTATATAGGGAATACAGGTTGTTGTCGCAACGAGGAACTCCGTCTCTATATATCGTGCCGAGTGAAACGCTAACAATACCTCGGAGATACCATAAACCATTAGTTTTAACGACGAATCCACCACCACTGTCGCCATCACAAACGGAAGAACCTGAAATATAAGATTTATATTATCTCTTTACGTTTTTTTAAGATTTTCATAAAATAAGTATTCCCCAATTTTTTAATATTTATATTGTCTCTTTCTTTTCCTTCGTTTTTACGTTGTTTTATATTATAATTTTAATTTAAACTATATTTTTTATCACTTTTGTGTTAAAAATTGTAGTATTTTATATAGCAGTCGTCTTTCTCTTTTACTAACCATTTAAATAACCTGCACAAAACTTGTCAATAGTAATAAATTGTCCTGTATCGGGGTTTTGGCTCGCAGATTCGCACTGACTATACGAAATATATGGCACTCTCAATGCTTGCAATAATGCGCTGGATTCACCTACTGCGGTTCTTCCAAATCCCGCTACTTTTCCATAAATACCTGGCTCTAGTATAGTTTGATCGCTGTTAGGATCTAAGCATGCAGGAACCAACCAAGTCGACAATACGAATGGCTGAACGAGCTCTAATAACGCAATATCCGAGACATAATTTCCCGTAAGTCCTAGATAATTACATATAATATGAATTTTTTTCACCTACAACAAAACGTTCAGGATTAACAACAGTACGAATGTATTAGTTGCATTATATCTACATACGTATATTTGCAAACCTTGTTCTTTTTAACGAGGCGTTGATCATGAAAGGGTGAGTCGTAATCACGAAAGATATTTCCGGTTGCTATATAAATCTTGTTAGCATCAATCACTCGCTTATTGGGGTCGTCGTATACGCAGTGAGCTGCTGTTATCAAGAGACTCTCTTGAATAATGGTTGCTCCACAGAAATATTTCTTTGATTTGTTTGATTGTTCGCGATACATTGTAGCGTGCCACGGAAACTCTGTGATATTGGGCGTTTCACCGTCAACAATGAGCGGTGTAACATTAGCAGGTAGTGTGCCGCATACTACAACAAATACTTGGATTAAAAATATTTGTCTTGGAGAGTATAAAATAGTACTCTTCATGCTTGTCATTAAGAAAGAAAGAGATAATTCACAATAACCATAACTTGATTACATACCAATGCAATTTTGCGATTAATGGGACAGGAGAGAAAGAGAGAGTAATATTAAGGTGATATATCAATTAAATATCAATTTTTAATAATTCTAAAACTATTTATTAAATATAATGTTTAATAAAATATAAATTTGTACACATATGGCATCATTCAAAATTAAACCATCTCACAATACTATCATTAAAGCTTTTCTTTAGGAAACAATTCTTAGTTATAATGTTAATAAAAATTATGACACGTAGGAAAACATTGGTATGTGAATTATCTCAAATAATTATCATTCCAAAATTGTAAAACTAAAATGATTTAAAATTGCTTATTCTAAAACTTTATGACCACGTCCAAAGTTCTTCTGTTACTAAATTACTACTTGGCGTTGGTAAATTAATATTTATATTTGTTTCTTGGGCATTTGTATGTATAATGATTTTATCTTCTAAAATTTCAATGAATGTAGCATTATTTCTATTTAAAAAGGATTGCAACGTAAGTTTTGTATCGTTAAGATAAATATTTATCATAAGCGGACCTGGAACACATCGTGTAGGCTGCGGTTCCCATTGACCGTTAGCATTACATCTCACTTCGTTTCTTGAAAGTAAAGTATTTTCACGTCGATAGCTGTTCCGACATGACAATGTCGCCTTTGTGTTTGGTGAAACCGGAGACTCGCATGATACCCATTCATTGTTGTATGTACATGTAGCTTCAGTTGATGCAGTGCTCAAAGGTTTGCACCGTATTGCTGTCAATAAATATTTTAAATATATAAATATATAAATATATAAATTTTATATAAATATATAAATATATAAAAAAAACTGTCGATTTTGGCTATTGAAAGATTCAAGAATTGAGTTTAAATGTCGAAATATTAATTTTCTTCTAGATTTTTGTTTTTCTCAATGCTCCAAAAAAAAAACCATACAATTATTATTTTGATACCTGAACAAACTGGTATATTAAGCCATCTTCCTTCAATGCTGCAACTCACATCACTGGAACCATTTAATCTATATCCCGAATTGCAAGAATAAATGAGATGAGATCCCAATTGTAATTCCGTTCCTTCCTGAACGTCACAATCTTCTCCGTTTGAACATTGCGATCGATGTAATTGCCAGTGACCATTTTCTGGTTGTGGAGGTGCTCTGCAAGTTCTCGAGCTAGGCGACACAGGGGGACGTGGTCGTGATGAAGTTGGTCTCGATATCGGTCTTAATGTAGTGCTAGTAGTAATCGGTAGCGACGCTGGCCATTCAGAGCATAATGATCGACTCTCGTCCGATCCATCGGCGCAATTGTTCACTCCGTTACATCGTAGGTCACCGTCGATACAAGCTCCGTAAGCGCAACGGAAAGCTGTTGCAGGACAGCTACAAATGCAAATCATCGTGAGCTTACGCGGACCACTCGATCAATGGAACATGTTTCGAATTACAAATAAGCATGCGAAGAGATAAAGTTTTATTCTTACGGTAATGATTTGCATCTTTTAGGCACTTCGTCAGAACCGTCCGCGCAGTTTGAAGTTCCGTCGCATACATCGATGGTAGAAATGCACTCTCCGTTGTCACATGAAAACTGATTTGCTCTGCATTGTGGCCTGGGTGTTGCCGTTGGATTTTTTGTACTAGTTATCCTACACCGGGGTTGCGTTTCATCACTATTGTCAACACAGTCCTGAATGCCATTGCACACGGAATCTCCATTTATACACGCACCATAATTACACCGAAAGGCATACGCAGGACACAGAATCTCTGGTTTTGTGCACTCGGTCACTGTTTCATCCGATGAGTCCCTGCAATGTGCTGTACCATCGCATAATAATTCGCCCGCTATACATTCTCCATTGCGGCATCGAAATCTCTCCAATCTATTCAAACAAATAGTAGTATCTTTATTTATCTGATGCACATCAACATAACTTATTCTAACGTAACGTAAATACTTACCCGCAGACATTGCTTCTCTGTGCGTATCCAGAATCAATATATACTAAAACCCAAAAAGTAAAAAATTTTACTACATTATAAAAATAATATTTCTGATCTAATATTTATTTTCTATTTTGAGTAAACGTGCATGAAATTATATTTAATTAAATTATTTTAATCATGATTGTGGTTTCGAATATTATACAATATATTCTTTAATGTTTATATTGAGGTTTTATGAGGAAAAAGAAGCAATTGTAATAAATGTTTGTTAAATTGATTGGCGATAAAAGAAACATCAGAAAATGCGATAGTTATGCACATAGTAGAGATGTGTATTGCATACATTCTACATATGTATTATCTTCGGTTATTATCTACTAGTATAAGTAAACATGTACGCAAGCTAGTTCTGCTATTCGAGGTTCAAGGTCACTAAACTGGTTTCTTAAACTGGCTGAGATTACGTCGATACTTCACAAATTGCTAAAACCAAGATGTGAATGTATGATAATCGTTCAAAAGTTTAGCATAAAACTCGTATCACTGGTCTTATTTACACTAAATCTGTATTATATATATAAACAAACAAATATATATATAATATATATGTATGTATATATGTATGTATATTTGTTTACGTCATCAAATTAAGCTACGAATTTCAGCTACGAATTTAATACGAATATAGTATGCTTGATATCATATCAAATAATTAGTGTAAACTAGAAAATGTATTAATACAAATAATTAGTGTAAACCATTATAAATACAGAATCAAGTGATAAAATTTTGGTCACTAAGCATCTCATTCACAAATAAGTATTGAATGTGTGCATCAATCAATTAATTCAGAGTAAAATGCGTAGATTAAGAGATTATCTAAAGAGATTTCATAATCGGAAAATGTTAGGAATTCAAATAACCCAAAAATAGTTAATGAGCATGAGATAATGTTGATGAAATTAATGAAAAATAACTGCACCTTGGAGTGTTTTCAATATTATTCCCAATGTTATCGCCAGATAATTAATAGAAGTCTTATTTACCACAAATAACTGTTAATACGGCGGCGATTCGCTGAACAATCCGCATGGTAAAGCACTCCGTGAGTGAAAGACTAAAGTTGCTATCTATATCTCCTTATATATGATACAACGCTCGCTCTCTGTAATTCACTGGAAACTGGTTGCAGGGAGACTGGAATTACCCACATTGAAGCAAAGCATACATTTATCATTTTAATGTGTGCGTATGCGGATGCATTAGGAAAATACATGCTCACTTTATTCGTTGAAAATTTTATCTAAATTAATGTATTTTTACAGCATTTCTGATTGCAAATTTTCTTTTTTGGGATGCAAATTTTCTTTTCGTTTACAAGCACATTAGTAATTTACGAGATATTCGAGTTTAATTAGAGAAGTAAAATTTTAAAAGACTTCGAATATACAATATTATTAAAAAAACATTTATCTAATAGCATTTCATAAAATCACACAGTAAAATAATAGATTATAATACATCAAATAATTCTAATAAACATAGCGAAAGATACATGTTTTACCAAAAGAAAAATGCAAACACTGTTAAATTCTCGTAAATTTATGACATGTATATATATATATATATAAACTTTTTAAAGATGTTTATATTGTACATGCTATCATATTAATATAAAAAAGACATTATACTTGATGCAATAGTTCAAAGTGCATTTCCACATTTAAACAAAATTTTTATCAATATTTCTACAAAATACATGCGTATTCTCCCAGTACTATTCATTCTTAGAGTACATTTTTATTGAATATAAGATATTATAATTGTAATTACAATAATAAAATATAGGATTAATATTTATTTTAATGATATTTTTAGAATCGATCATGTTTGTCATTAATAATTTCATTATTTATTATAATTTTAGTAATTAATTATATATAACACGATTTACCTAGTTACAAGTAAATCTTCAATAGAATATATTTGTAATATAAGTAAAAGTATTATTTAAAAAGCATATAGAATTTATTGCAAAGTGCATAGCTTATTTAATTGTTATAATATCTAACAAAGTTTAACAAAAATAGTATTTTAAACATATATTTATCACATTATTTATCTATTTAAATGCGATTTAAAAACATAAAGTAATAAAAATTATAATAATAACAAAATCGACATAATGTGAAATTAATAGGTACTGTTAAAATTATAAATGTAATCTCAATATTTTTAACTTCATAAAGAATATTATTTTTCAAGTCATAAATGTAATTTCACATAATCATAAAAAAGAATTTAGATATTTATCAGTGAGAGCCGTATGATAATCCCGTTAGCAAATGTAGAAGCGTGTTTCTTGGTTCATGTAAGACTTATTCGGCACACGATGAATATGGCCGATTTTGTTCTAATGTTGCAATTACGTCTTGTATCCATCCTATGTGGCTAGATATTCGTGTATATAAAGAATACAAGTTGTTGTCACAACGAAGAGTTCCCGCTATATTTATCGTGCCAAGCGAAACGCTAACAATACCTCGAAGATACCATAAGCCATTAGTTTTAATGATTAATCCATTACCACTGTCGCCATCACAAACAGAAGAACCTGAAACGCAAGATTTATATAAGTTATCTTTTTACGTTTTTTAAGATTTTTTATTATTATGATTTTAATTTAAATGGTACAACTATATTTTTGATCACTTTTGTGTTAAAAAATATAGTATTTTATATATCAGTCGTCTTTCTCTTTTACTAACCATTTAAATAACCTGCACAAAACTTGTCAATAGTAATAAATTGTTCTGTATCGGTGCTTTGGCTTGCAGATTTGCACTGATAATACGAAACATACGGCACTCTTAATGCTTGCAATACTGCGCTGGATTCACCATCTGCAGTTCTACCAAATCCTGCGACTTTTCCATAAACACCTGGTTCCAACACAGTTTGATCGCTGAAAGGATCTAAGCATGCAGGGACCAACCAGGTCGACAATACGAACGGTTCGTCGAGTTCTAATATCGCAATATCCCAGACATAATTTGTTATAAGTCCTAGATAATTGCATGGAATATAAATATTTTTTACCTGCAAGAGAAAACATTCAGAATTAGTAACATTGCGAGTAGATTAGTTATGTTGTAAACATCTATATTCGCAAACCTTGTTCTTTTTAACGAGGCGTCGATCATGAAAGGGTGAGTCGTAATCGCGAAAGATGTTTCCGGTTGCTACATAAATCTTTTTAGGGTCAATCACTTTCCTAATACTGTCATCGTATACGCAGGTGGCTGCTGTTATCAAAAGATTCTCTTGAATGATAGTGGCTCCGCAGAAATATCTTTTTTCTTTGTTCGGCATATCTCTATACAATGAGGCATGCCATGGGAATTCTATGATATCGGGTGTATATCCACCTATAATGAGCGGTGTAATTTGGGGTGGTAATATGCCGCATACTGCAACGAATAAAAATTGGTTGAAAAAAATCCCCTTGGAAAACGTTTCTTGATAAGATCAAACAGTTAAAAATTTCAATAAACATTTCTATCTAAAGTAGTTTGCAAGGTATATAAATTTAATATAATTAAAGTAAATAGTTATTGTTAACAAACCTGGTACACATTGTATAGGCTGTGGTTCCCATTGACCAGTAGCATTACATCTCACTTCGTCCCGTTCCTTTCGTGTAAGTAGATTAGATTGACGTTGATAACTATTTCGACAGGACAATGACGCCCTCGTTCCTGGTAAAACTGGCAATTCGCATGATATCTGTTCATCGTTGTATGTACATCGAGCTTCAACTGACGCAGTGTTTAAAGATTTGCAGCGTACTTCTATCATAAAATTTTTTTTAACATATAAATAGCTTGTTATTCTGTTTTTACTACGATATATTGCAACTTTCATGTAAGAATTTACCTTAAAATTTTTAATCTGAATTTTCTAGATTATATTTTCTTTTCTTTTCTCAAATGGATGCTCCAAGCATGTGTAATTATTATTTTAATACCTGAACAAACTGGTATATTGACCAGTTTTCCCTCGAAATTGCAAAACGCATCAATGGAGCCATTTATTTCATATCCTGGATTGCAAGAATAGATGAGATGAGATCCTGATTCCAGTTCCGTTCCTTCCGAAACGTTACAACTTAATCCATTTAAGCATTGCGTTTGATGTAACTCCCAGTGACCATTTTCCGGTTGCGGAGGCGCTCTGCAAGCTCTTGACTTAGGTGTTACAGAACTTGGAGTTGCTGTTTCAGTTGCTTGTATTGCTTCTAGTTGTACTATTTTGAAACCAAAAATAGTTTAGTATCTCTATAGTTTTGATCTCCGAGTTAAATTAATTTTTTAGTTACATGGGAAATGAAGAATAATATACTAAACTGTACAATCATTGCGTAAAAGATATTTTTTAATATTAAATTGAATAAATATAAGAAGACATAAAAGAGGAAGCGCAATAGCATTTATTGATATTTTTAGATATGAATAACAAAAGAACATAACATTCTTAACATTCTTCATTATTGTGATCATTTTTGTCATTTAAACAGTAAAGAAGAAGAATAAAATTCTTCTATTTTAAATTCAAGGCTATCAAACTGGTTTCTGAAGCCAATTAAAATTACAGCGAAATTATTGCAATTATTTTTACGGAAATGCGAATATGCAATGACGAAAGGTTAGCATATTTGATAAGATTCCTTACTACATATACATTATCGAGATAAGAATAATTTACAGTAAAAATGTTTCTATTAATATCCTTATTCATAACTTCCTTTAAATAATTAATATTAATTTTAGTTAATTTTAGCCAAATATTTAACTTCAGTCATTTACTAATCAGTTATTTGATATTCCATTATGAAAATTGAATAATTTTCTATAAATGATCTAAAAATGATATCAAGCGCACTGAACGCAGTGAAAAATAGCATGTTTAGATATAATTATTAGCTTATTAGCTTATATAATTCCTTATTAGTGTTATTTCTCTTGATTATATATATTCATTGAATACATTTCCTTTGTAGCGATATTTCATTAATTTAATTTAGTTTGGCAACTTCTGATTTAATAAATTTATTATTTAGTATTTTGTTACTTTTAATTCTCTGATCTAAGATTTTTAATTGTCACAATTGATATTTATATGAATCCTACTTACCGCAAATAATTATTAGCGCAATAATCGATTTGACAATCATAGTAAAGCACTTTATAGCGAAACGTCAGCAATTGTATTTGTATGTCTTTATAGCAGAAGGTTCAGCCACACACTGGAAACTGGTTGCAACTAGACGTGAATTATTCAGCTTGATACTGCCATCTCTCTCTATTTCTAGTATATGAACAGCAAGCCGTGCAAGCTTAATTTATACGCTGCTGACTTATCTAAATTATAAATATATTTTTATAACATTAATGAGTACAAAATGCAAGTTTTTTCTTTTTTTATAGGTTTTTTCTTGTCTGATTTCTCGTCACTTACTATGAGAAAGTGAAATTTTAAAGAAAGATTAATTAGTATGCATTGTATTGTTGAAAAATATTTTCCTGAGTCTGACAAACATTGCGGAAGTCATATATTTTGTCAAAAGGGAAATGCAAATTGCATTATTTATGATCATTAGCAATTTTCGAGTATTAATTACTTAAGTACGAAAGTAAATCTTTTGTAAGATATATTTGTACAGTATAAGTAAGAACATTGTTTAAATATGCACGTATCAAATTTATTGAGAAATATGTACATAGCTTACTTAATTTGTGACAATACCTAATATATTTTGTAAAGAATATTGTTAAGAATATCTTAAGCAGATGATTATCACATAATCTATCCGTTTAAAACACAAAATAATAAAAATTATGATAATAATAAAACTGATATAACAAGAAATTAACAGGTACTGGTAAAGTTATAAATGTAAACTCAACATTTTTAACATTCCTAAAAAATACTACTTTTCAAGTCATAAATGCTTTTTTCAACAAAAATGTAATTTCATACAATTACATAAAAAAGAAATATTTAAATATTTATTAGCGATTTATACTTACCTATTGCACAAAATTGTACGTTTAAAATCAAACTTATATATATATTTTTTAAATTCGTTGTACCATAATCAAACATAATTCTGTTGTATACAAATATAGAAGTGTCTCTTAGTTCCTCCAAGACTTATTCGGGCATTCGGGATATTGCCGATTTTGTTCTATTGTTGCAATTACGTCTTGTATCCATCCTATATGGCTAGATATTCGTGTATATAAGGAATACAAGTTGTTGTCACAACGAGGACTTCCCGCTATATTTATCGTGCCAAGCGAAACGCTAACAATACCTCGAAGGTACCACAAACCATTAGTTTGAACGACTAATCCACCACCACTGTCGCCATCACAAACAGAAGAACCTGAAACGCAAGACTTATGTAAATTATCTGTTTTTACGTTTTTTAAAGATTTTTATAAAGTATTCTCCAATTTTTTAATATTTTCTCTTTTTTTCTTTCGTTTTGTTTTACATTATAATTTTAATTTAAATGGTACAACTATATTTTCGATCACTTTTGTGTAAAAAAATGTAGTATTTTATATATCAGTTGTCTTTCTCTTTTACTAACCATTCAAATAGCCTGCACAAAACTTGTCAATAGTAATAAATTGTTCTGTATCGGCGTTTAGACTTGCAGATTTGCACTGGTTATACGAAATATATGGCACTTTCAGTGATTGTAAAATTGCGCTGGATTCACCGTCCGAAGTTCTACCAAACCCTGCGACTTTGCCATAAACACCTGGCTCCAACACAGTTTGATCGCTAAAAGGATCTAAGCATGCAGGAACCAACCAAGTCGACAATTCGAATGGTTCAGCGAGTTCTAATATCGCAATATCCCAAACATAATTTCCTGTAAGTCCTATGTATTTGCATATAATATAAATATCTCTCACCTGTAAGAAAATGTTCATGGTTAACAATAGTGCAAACATATTAGTCGCATTACATATATTTATATTTGCAAACCTTGTTCTTTTTAACGAGGCGTCGATCGTTATAAGGCGAGTCGTAATCGCGAAAGATGTTTCCGGTTGCTATAAGAATCTTATTAGGATCAATCACCCGTTTGGTGGTGTCATCGTATATGCAGTGAGCTGCTGTTACCAAGAGATTCTCTTGAATAATAGTTGCTCCACAGAAATATTTCTTTTTGCGGCCTTCATCGTAATACATTGAAGCATGCCACGGGAATTCTGTGATTTTGGGTGTAACACCGCCCCAAATGAGCGGTGAAACAGGAGCAGGTAATATGCCGCATTCTGCAACAAACACTTTGATTGGAGAAATCGTCACGAAAATCATCTCTTGGTAAGATAAAACAGTGTACTGATGATTATGCAGAAAAAAGGAGGAAAATTCAATTGCACATCAGTTCAATTTTGGTATTAGTAGGTGCAGAAAAAGAAGTGACGCAAGATCCCATGTAAAACTTTTGCGAACAAATTTATTAAATATTTCTTAACAAGTTTTTAAGTTATAAATTGTACAGTACATCATTAAAAATGTTTGAGAACTGTGTATTGAGAACAATGTTTAAGAATTATGTTATTAAGGCTTTGGTTTTTCGAAGAACTATTTGGAGTGTAATAATTTTAATGAAAAAAATGCATAGGAACATAGAACATTGGTACGTGACGCCAAGACTATAAAAATTAAATGACTATTATTTATAATCTGTCACTATTTTATGGTTTTAAAGCCATATATATACAAGATTTTTTTGTTGCCAAATTACAGCTTGGAATTGACGCAATTTACACTTTAATAATATGGATTCATGTCATTTGTACATATTATAATAACATTATCTTTCTAAATTTCAATAAAGGAAGCATTATTTCTACCTAAAAAAAAACGTGTAAAAAGATTGTAATTCTGACTCGATTACACAATGTAATTTTGCGATCAACGGGATAGGAAAGAGAGTGATGCTAAGGTCGCGTATTAATTAATTTTAAACCATTTCATAATAAATTTATTAAATATAGTATTTAACCTAAAAAGATATAAATTTGTATATATCATAGCACAGTTAAAAAATAAAGCACGTTATAATACTATATTGTTGTAGCTTTGGTTTTTTTCACAGAAAGTAGTTCTGAATTATAATTTTACTAAAAATTATAATATAGGAAGACATTGATATGTGAATTATTTCGATGGAAATAACTAGCATGGCAAAACTATCAAAATAAATTATAAAAAATTTTGCCTATTGCAAAGTTCTATGGCCATGGCCAAGGTTTTTCTGTTACTAAATTACTATTTGGCTTTGGCTTTATCTTCACGTCTATATTTGGATAATTTGAATCTTTGCCATCTGTATGTATAATAATCTTATCCTCTAAAACTTCAATAAGCGTAGCATTGTTTCTATTTGAAGAAGTTTGTAATGTAAGTTTAGTGTTGTTAAGATAAATATTTATCGTGAGCGGACCTGGAACACATTGTATGGGTTGTGGTTCCCATTGACCATAAACATTACACTTTACTTCGTTCCTTGTAAGTAGATTAGCTTGAGGTTCATAGCTATTTCGGCAGGACAATGACGCCCTCGTTCCTGGTAGAACTGGAGAGTCACATGATACCCAATTATTGTTGTATGTACATGTAGCTTCAGTTGATGCAGTGTTCAAAATTTTGCAGCGTACTTCTATCAATAAATAATTTGAACATATATCATTAATTTGTAATTCTAGTTTTGACTATAACACATTAAAATATTCAGTATACTAGAATTGAGTTTAATTTTCTAAAGATTATTGGTTTTTTTTTTCTTAAATACGTTCCAAAAACATGAATATTATATACATACCTAAACAAACTGGTACATTAAGCCACTTTCCTTCAAAATTGCAACTCACATCGGAGGAACCATTTAAAATATATCCTGGGTTACAGGAATAAATGAGATGAGAACCTAATTGCAGTTTCGTTCTTTCCGGAATGTCGCAATATAATGTATATGAACACTGCGGCCCGTGTAACTTGTAATGACCATTTTGCGGTTGAGGAGGCGCTGTGCAAGGTTTAAAGTTGGTATTCACAGAGAAAGTTTCAATTGAAGGTCGTAATGTTGATATTGGATCTGGTTTTAAGTACGATGTCACCCATTCAAGTGTCACAGAAGGACGTGGAGTATATTCTGGTTGTACAAATGGCTTTGATATATTTGATGTGTTTGATGATTCTTCTGTCTCTGGTCTTCGTACGTCTAATTCCGGTACTAATAGATTTATCGGCCCTACTGGTTTATCTGGCACGTCTGATTTCCCTGGCGCTATTGGTCTTATTGATCTTACTTGAAATCCTAATCCAATTCCACTGCACAATATTATATCTTCGTCCGATTCATCTACACAATTGCTTTTTCCGTCACACTTTAAATCATTATCGATACAAGCTCCGTAAGCACAACGAAATCTCGTCAAGGGACAGCTGTAAATAAATCATCAGTTGTGAAAAAATATTTCCCATGCGAAACATTTAGTCAATGGAACGTGTTTCAAATTATCAGTGTAAGCATGTAAAGAAATAAAATTATTCTCACGGTAATGATCTGCATATCGCAGATTTTTCGTCAGAACCATCCGCACAGTTCAAAGTTCCGTCACATAGATCAGTGTTGGAAATACATTGTCCATTACTACACGTAAACTGATTCGCCTTGCATTTTGCGGCCCTTCTTGTTCGATTATATTCTGCTTTTTCACATTCGACCTCTGTCTCATCGGACGAATCTTTACAGTGTGCTGTACCATCGCATAATAATTTGCCTTCTATACACTCTCCACTGCGACATTGAAATTTCTCTAGCCTGTTTGAGCAATTAAACAAGCAAATATTTATTTGCATTGAGCGACTTAAATTTATTGAAATGATTTACTGCAATATGCATTTACTGCAAACACTTACCCACAATTATTAGCTTGTGCATACTGAAAATCAATATAGACTGAAAAACCAAAAGAATCATTTTACTGTGTTACAAAAAACTAGTTTCCGTCATTTTATATGTTGAGTGATTGTGTGAATTAAAATTATATTTTATCAATTCATTTTAATTATGAATAAGATTTTTCTAAAAAAGACACAAGCATCGCATATTCATTGATAATGGATATAAATATCCATTTGAGTGTAAAAAGCGTACATTCGTTTGATACCGAAAAATGCCAACAAATACAATAATAGATCCATTGATTTTTAAGACGCCAAATTGATCTTTTAATTATATGGAAAATGGAGAATAAATTAAACTGTACAACTGTCTCACGAGATCTATTCTCAAATATCAAGTTGAATAGTGAGCACAGAAGGAAATGTGATAGAGTTTATTCTGCAACGTGAATAAAAAAAGTGTGATTGAGCTGTTTAAGATTTTGCGCATGCATCCTTGCCTTCGGCACTTAAACTAAGATCGATTCATCCATTCAAAATTCAAGGCCACCAAACTGGTTTCTGAAACTGGCTGAAGTTAAGGCAATATTGCAAATTGTTTAGACAGAGATGCAAATGTACAATTATCACGAAAGGTCGTCATTGTGATAACATTAAATATCAGTATACACATTATCAATGTTTCTGAATATAAAACCTTAATCATTTTTAATTTTAATCAAATTATCAATTAATTAATAAGATTTTATTGTGTAAATTAAATCGTTTTCTTTAGTATTTTACTTCAACTAATAAACATAATGCATTGTTACTTTAATTAATAAACATAAAATTCTTAAAAAAAAAATATTTATTAATTTTAATAATTTTTTTTTTTAACTCCAGACTTTATAGCTTTGCGATTACAATTTTTATTAGTATCGTAATATGTGATTTTTAATCGTCACACAACAATTGATAAATTTTATATGTGTGAATCCTACTTACCGCAAATAATTATTAGCGCGATAATCCATTCGGCAATCTGCATGGTATAAACACTCCGTAGCAGAATGTAAGGAACTGTGTCCGTGCGTCCTTATATTATGAGACTCAGTCAGTCACTGATTGTCAGGGATTCACTGGAAACTGGTTGCAGTAAGATTATCTGGTTGGACATTCCATATATGCCATCTCTATTTTTAATACACGAAGAAAAACAAGCTATACCAGCTTAGTTTATGAAAACTTATCTAAGCGATTAATTAATCGTCGAGAAAATACTGTAGTTGAATCTGCATATGTGTGTACGCATCCTTGATAACCAATTCAAAGAAATATAAATACTAGATAAATACTTTTATTATAACACGCGATTAAAAAAATCCCGATGTCATTTTCAGATTTTTACAGAATTGTTTGGAAAATTGGAAAAATTTATAATTACATATTTAAGCCTAATTAGATAAAAAAGATAAGTTTAAACATAAGTTTTAAAAAGTTTTAATTTTTAAAATGTTTTTTAACATATTTCAAACATAGATAAGACTATCTATTTTACACGCGATAAACACGCGCTTAATTCACAGTTTATTGTTTTTCGTCCTCTTCAATAGGAAGTTCCTCTCTGTTGTTAAAGCTATAAAAAGGAAGACCTGCTATCCACTTTAATGTTCTATATAATATTAAGTTAAGGTAAATGCGTGAAAAAAAATTACGAATGTCGTTCATTTAAAAGGATACGTTTGTTCCGAAATCTCAGTGTCCACCATATATTGTAAAATGTATTTCTTCTGAAACTTTTCTATTTCTTCTTCGCACTCTTTCCAGTCTAATGTTTCATGAAGACCATCTGTTCCATATCTTTTACCGTAATGATCATAATGTACCTGTCGATACATTTGTCTAAATAGTTTGTCTTTAAAAGATTAACTATTAAAGTCACACAACAAATTATAATTAATATTAAATATCTAATATCAATTTATAATCTGTTAATGTAACAAATGTCTCTGCATTTTAAAAAATTTAAAAAAAATTGAAAATGTCCAAAAACTCTTACATGACACAAACATAATCCTAAGCTGGGTGCAATTGGTATATCTAATTTATCCATCGTCTTGAACGCTTCGTTAATTCTTTCTTCGGGTACAATCTTCCTCGCAACTGCGACTACAACCGCGACCATTTTCCGAATTTGATGCAGCATAAAGCTTTGTCCTTTAATTTCCAACACCGTGAATTCCATATCGTTTGAAACAAATGTCTCCGCGCAACGAAAACTAATTATGTAGCGTCGTGCACGTGGATCTAATGGTTTTCTGGAATGAAAACAAAATGTGCTTTAATTTTGGATTTCAAGTGAATGTAATTTTTTCGATTCTGTTTTACTTACACTTTTGACGTAAAATTATGAAAATTGTGAGTTCCTTCTAGAAGCTTCAAGATAGAATTCAATCTATCTAAAGATTCCGGAGATAATCTGTAATCAGTATATGGTTTTCCATTGATAGTTGATAGCTGTTGAATTCTCTCTTCTTCATTAACTTCTTCTCCAACTTTTAACAAACTTGGATCTTCCGATGTAAATGCAAATGACGGAATGATATATCTATAGGTACGTGCATCGCATTGATTTTTGCTGTTGAAACCTTTTGTTACTCGCTTTATTCCAAATACCCTGATTACATCAGGTAAAAATTCATTTATTAATGCCTTGTCAGCCTTTTCCGCTGCAAAAAAGTTACTGACATTAAGTTCTTTGCCTTCAAAGGGCACTCTGGTGACATAAAGTTTATTAATAATTTAAATAAAATTTAAAGTGTTATACATTAGAATATTCTTAAAATATCAATATCTTACGTAGCTTCAGTGAGACAATCTGTCTAACTGCTGATACTCCTTTATCTGTACGTGCAGCTCTTTGAAAATTGATTGTACGAATATCCTTAAAATGTTCCTCAGATATCAAATTTGCCTTCAACAAAGCAGTGACTAAATCTTCCTCAATAGTTTTCATACCAGGATTTCTTTGCATGCCATAATAATCTTTACCAAGATAACCCAGTAACATAGCATGATTTTTCCTTTTAATTTTTTGTACTACTTCTGTTTCTGTCTTTTGTACCTTAGCTTCATTTTCATTGTTATCATCTAATATTGGTCTCTTATTTCCAAGTAATGTATTTACATCAGGCTCAACTATAGGATCCATTATGACCGACATAGCTCTGCAGCAATTATTCTCTAAGGAGAAAATTTTTAATATTTTAATAATTATACATTAGATAGGCATTAAGTAATACCTAAATTAAACTTGAAGCATATATGGTTCAAATTAAATAAAAAAAGTAAAAATTACAAGATAACTCAAACTTCAAAAGCTCACTCTCACTCAAAGAGAGCTCACTCTTTAAATTTTTTAAGTTTACAAAAATAATTCTTTAACATATCTTAATTTGTTGTATATTGCTAAATATATTTTATATGTACCTAATTGAATTTTTACCCGACGAATTGTAGAGTTGCTTAAAAAGCAATGTTTTGTCCTGTACAACATTGGCGATATAATCCCTATTTTATAAATGATTTTTACATAATTAAAATATGAAATTTAAATATCGAAAATATTCTTATTAAAAAAAACTCACAATTCACAAAATTAATTTAACACGAGACTTTACAAGGTTCTATTTTCTCGTGCAATTGACAATCTATTGCACCAACTTGCATTAAACTTGTATTGATCATAGCTTATGTAAAGTTTAGATGTGAATGCTTAATTTCGCATTGCCAATTTTCTCTACAGTTAAAAAAAAGATTTACAATGTTGTTGAATGGAAAAATTATAATTTTTTAATGAAATTGCACGTCAAAGTTTATGCATTTTTATTTCGACTATAAATTACAATACATATGCATTTTATAAGAAAGCAATTTCACAAAATGTTATCTGGTCCTCTGTATATTCTATTCCCACAGATCATGTTTGCTAACAGCTGAGCGGCTTTGAGCGGCTCGACTTAACCTCAAATGTGAAACGTGAAACAAGACTGAACGAGATAAAAACGTGAAATATAGTAAAGATAATAGCAGATTTATATATATATTTTGTAGTTTTATTTCCTCTTTCTTATATTTTATAATTTCTCAACTAGTAAAAATCTTTCCAAAGATGCTATTAAGATATGTAACTCCAGTATTTACTTATGGGAAATGTATACAGGTATAACTCTATTGCTCTTTTTTTCTAAAAGCTAAAGTAATCTACAATAATATTTAATTTAAAAAAATTTTTGATTAATAAGGCCCTATTTTTTTGAATTATGAAGCAAAAGATGAAACAATCACAAATTGTTTCATTTTGTTTATGATTTAAAATATAGAAGTTTTAAAATACTTCAATGCATAATATACTGAAAGTATCATTTATTTAAATATGTAAAAATTGTAACATTACAAATGTAAAGCAACTAAACAGGTAAAAATCTATTTCAGAACAATGTACCAGCATTGTTTAGTGCTATTAATTATACTGACATTACACAAGTCAGATATATCAATAAGCACTGGAATCCAAAATTTAAGAAAGAAAGAAGACAAAAAGTTGTAAAAATAAAACTACCGGACTTTAACGAAAATGAAGATAAAGATTCTACTGAAATGACCACGGAAGAAATGAGATCAAAGATGAAAGAACATGGTTATATTCCACAGAAACCTTGGCAGGAAAGGCCAGCATATATCAGCTGTACTCCTGCAATTTTTGAATCCTATGTTGCTCCTGAGGGAGATGGAAAATATTCTGCTATTACGAAAGAGGTATATTTTGCATTGCTTTAACATAATATTTTAACATAATATTTTAATTTTGTATTATAGATATGTTCTCTCTATTCTTTAATCATTTATTTTGTGATTGAAATATAGGGTGCAAAGCAAAAGTTTACATTTTTGGAGAAAAAAGGCAAATCTTTACTGGCTATTAGAAAAATTAAAACATTTGATGACTTGTTTAAGACATCCTATTTTGTAGAAGAAGCCTTGGAAATTTATCAAAAGGCACATGAAGCTTTAGCTGCGTAAGAAATAACAAATATTTATATATATTTCTATACTTTTACATTTTTTAAATTTTAGTCATAAACAATATAAGTTAAAAGAATGATAAGTAATCTGTAAGTTTTTTTTATTTATTTAACATAATATTAAATAAAATATTTTTCTTAAATTTTAGTAAAAATCGGAAGAAATTACTAGAATATGTTACAGAAACAGCATATCCTGTAAGTTTCAAATGTATTCCATGTGTTGCCAACTTAAAATAGAAATTTATATTATATTTATTATCATATAATAATGCACTATATTGCCATAATTTCTGTATTTTTAGAAAATAACACATAATATGATGAATAAAACTATACACTGGAAATTCTTAGAATCTTTGGAACCAGCTCGCGTTGTACACGCAAGGACTACGGATGTGATATCGAAAGAAAATATTTTTGCACAGCTTACTGTTCGGTTCCATACACAACAGGTTTGATAATTTATTCTCTAGTTTTCTTTTACTTTTCCTTACAACACTAATAACTAAACACAATTTTTCCCCTTTGCAGATGTTAGCAATTTATGATAGGTTTGGTCGTTTAATACAGGGAAGCGAAATTCTAAGGAAAGACGTATTAGAATACATAGTGTTCGAAAGACATATGGCTAATGAATACGGCACTTGGCGAATTCATGGTAAAATTATACCATCATGGATGACTCCAACGGACATAGCAGAAAGTACATACGTATTGCCGAAAGAGAAACGTGATCCTGAACCTACGGGGCCGCCCCCAGTGGAAGCTACGTTAGTAGAAGATACACCAAAGGATGTATCAAAGGATGCGACAAGTACACAACTTGCGTAAACTCATGACATGTAATTTATGTAAGTAATGTTTATATTATATATTGTATAAGATTAAGATACAAAATATATTGCAATTTATGCAATAGTTAAAAGTGTATTTTGAAAGATTTTGTTCGATATTCCTCCTAACAGATATAATTACAAAGTTACTTCCTTTTCGTTCATTTTAGGATATCATATTATAAGATCATATATTCTTTTTAATAATACTTTTACATTTGATCATATTTAATTAATAATCTTATTACTTAGTCAGTAATGAAAATTACAGTGAGAATTAATTATACTAGAACATAACATTATGATATAAGATTCTATAATGTTATAAAATTCTATTTATTTTATTCATTTTTATGCCTTAGAATTTTTTATCATATCGATATGATATAAGATTCTAAGGCATAGAAACGAATTAAATGTACTTTAACATTCTAGACCATTTTTTTCTTTAAAACATAAAATTTCAATGCATCCAGTAAAGTTTTAGGCTTGTCAAATAATGACATAAAATTTTAAAGTATAGAAATGAATAAGATACATTAATATTACAATATACATTTTATTTTTTATTAGACACTATTTCTATTTGCAAGTAAATATTCTGTAGAATATACATTTACAATTAAAAGGAAAAATAATTACAATTGTTTAGGTTTAATATAAACAAATATGATTTTTTCGATTATAAAGACAATAATAGCAATTATCATTCCACAGCATATCACTGCAATTACTAAAGAAACTTGATATATTTCAATCGGTTTCGGTAAATTATCATCATAATTTTGTTTAATTCTCGGTTCTAAATAACGATTCTTCAATGCATCCAAAAGTCCAACTTCCATTAATTTGAGTATTCTATTTATAATAATTTATTATAAAGTATTATGAATCAATTATAATCTTCAAAATACTCTACTTAGAATATCATTTTAAGCAAATATTTTTTTACCCAAGATCCACACTCCTTTTGTATTTAAAGTTTCTCGCGATGCCAGAAGCTACCCACATTTTCCAATAAGGCCTTCCAGTTCGATTTAAGTTGCATGCAATATGTCCTGTCACTTTATATTCATCTTCACTTTGGAATATAGCATACTTTTTTCTTTGCAAAGATGAACATACCTTTCTGTGCATGTCCTCAATTTTTGATTCTACGATCAAGCGTCTTTCTCTTTTTGCTCTTATAAATGATTTATCAGTGATTACCTATAAATTAAAAAAAATATATTAGAAGAGCATGTATAAAATAAAACACTTCAAAATAAAGTAGTTAGTTAAATCATGATTTAATAAGAGATCTCTTTAATACGCAATCTGAAAATTATTAAATTATAAATCAATATGATAGATCCATACATTATTGAATATATGTTAATCAATACCTTAAATCCGATTTCTCCACTAGAACCTTTCATAGTGATAACGTTATATTTAGTATTAGTCACCAGAGACTCGAAACTATCGAATGGCGGTATAGAGATACTTTTTGTTATATAAATGAATAATACAGCACCAAATGCCATATACATTACAGAACAAAAAAAACCCAGCGATACTTCTAATATCCTTGATCTTCTAGCAAGAGAATGAGGAATATAGCCTATTACAATTATTTAAATTAATAATCTTTTTATATTTAATAAATGAGTCTATTAATGTTTTTTTTTTTCTTAATAATTATTATTTGCATAGTAAAATTCTAAAAATTTATATATTCAATTATAAAAATATATCAAATCCTTTAATATAACATTAAATAATTTTTGCATTATTACTTTATTTTGTTGCAACGCATATATTTTTTATAATGAATTAATTTATTTCTGAAACGAAAGTGAATAATATTGCACTTAAACTGATTATTTGTACGTACTTTGATTGCAGAGATTTCCGAAATTATAAAATAAATGTTCACTGAAACGCGCAGCTGGATATTTATGTTCAGTCTGTAGCGAAATATTTTCTGTTAAATAGGTGCATACGCTTAGTAGTATATGCATAACGAATATGCCACACCATATTTTCCAAGAGAAAACTTTTATCATCCATTCGTTGTCGGGCATCATTTCGCGACGAATGTACAAATACTGTCTGTAAAATTATTTAAGATTATTATTAATATTGTGATACAGTTGGGTTGTTAAGACGTCATCGATATATCGGAGCTACTAAATTTAGAGTTAGTAGTGATTTCTTATTTAAAAATCAAGATTTCTTGATTAGAAATTAAGAAATTGTGGTAAATACCCGTTTAGTCCATAAGGCATCGTAAAACGAGTAGCCATTAGTCGCGAATGAAACGTTTCAACTTTTGGTATTGCAATGGTTTCATTGCGAGCGATAATAGCTAATAATCCGTCAAAAGTGGAATTTTTATGTTTTACACCCAAGCTGTTTACGTTTACTTTCACTGGCTTCAATCTAAAAATTAGAAATATTTTCTAGTTAGTCTTGTTAATACGACAATCTGTTTTTATGATGTAATCTATGCAATCTTACGTAAAGTTCAGCGTTTTGGAAAGTAAATTCCATATTTCACCGCAAAGTCCTGAAACTTTTGTATTGTTGGCGTAGAAAGTCAAAAAATGCGGTTCCTGTAATACGTAATCGATAAAATTATCATGCAATCTCTTTAGTATTAATTTATATTCTTTAATACATTATTATTTTGTAAGTTATGTCCATTAATTTTTCTTTAAGCATAGATAGATATTCTTTACGTTATTGTGGCGATTGCTTTTGTAATCATTGGGGATTTCCAGTTTAAGTTAAAAACATGGTGATGCATTAGCTCATACTTAGTCATCAAATTATCTTTTCTCAGAGATGTTTTTAATTTTGTTTTTGAAGATGTAGGTTATATAAGTGTTATAAGAAATGAAAGCTGTAGTCTTTTCAGAGACAAAAATTTCACACAGTTTCAATATATAATAAATATTTTTAAATAATCAAATTTTTTAATATACAAGTTTTTGTGTACAAATCGTGCTTTATTAATTAACAAATAATATCTAATCAATTTGTAGTGAGAAATTTGGATGCATGTGCAAAGTATATAAAAAAATAACTGTGATTTTTAAAAATGTACCTGGTAAGAAGTTAAAGTCAAGTTCTGCAGTTGGAAATTGTAAGTTTCCAGCTCTCGACTCTGTCTAAATCGTTCTTGTTGCATCATAGCATAAATCGGTATACTGAAAATTGGCACAAAACTCTGCCGCGTTTTGCTCCAAATCACACCGTTTATCGTGTCGGACGATGATAACATTTTATATAATATAAGAAGAAATAATAATCGTCTCATTCGGATGTACTGTTGATGCCGTACGAAAACTTGTAGAATTGTCTCTTTGGATAGCGCAGCTCAAATTTCTTATTACACGCATACTTGCTGATATATTATTCAAGCTCGATATTCAATAAAAGCAAAACTTATCACGATCGGATTGATTTCTGTGATAGATGTAAAAAAGACGCCTGTCATCGTGTCACTTTAGATGAGATCTTTTTCTTGAAATCTCGTTAGCGTGTGTCGCGTCAATCTTTAGATTGTTAATTTCGATTTTTTTTTATTTTATACTGTATATTTTCTTTTTATTGTTGAGAATGTGTATGGAAGTACATGGAAGAACAATTGCAAGTTATGGCATATTGTAAATATTATAGAAAACTATTGCAAAAATAGATAATAGATTTATTCGACATATTTGCTTTTCAAGCGTTATCTTATTCGAACAATAAATATAAATCCGTATCGGATTTTATATATATCACCCCTATATTTACAGGTAATCAACTTTATTTGTTATCATGATCTGCGAAATGTCATGCTTTAATGGCACATTGATACATTGTCATGGCAAAACTAATGCGTGCGTTGAAATGGCGAAGGTCAACTCTATAAGGTCATATGCTATAATTTTTTTATACAACTACAATATAAATTATGTATATAATAAAAAAATAATTAGTATATATTAGAAAGGCAATAGAAATAAATTATGAAGAAACAGAGAGGGGTGTTTGCTAAAATAATTATTATTTGGTATTTTACATATATAGATTCATGTACAGTTTTCTCTAAATATATCCAAATCTTATTCCTTAACGTCTACGTCTACGTCTACGTCAAACGTTCTTTGTATCATAATAATATTTTACATTCTTTAGAATGAGTATTGTAAATGAGATTAGTATCCCGCAATAGAGTATTAGAAAAATCAAATGCACTTGTTGCAAATCAATCGTTTTGAACTTGTTCTGCTCTTTACTCTCTAGCTTGATATTTAGCCAACGAGCCTTAAGAGCGTCCATTATGTCGACTTCCTTGAACTTGATAAGTCTGGAAAATAGAGAATGACAATAAAAACAAAATTTAACTTATATAATAATTTTTTAAATATTGGACATAAATAATGACTAATTTATTTGCGCGACACTTACGTTGAGTCAATGATTTTCTTGTAGCGGAATTCCTTCTTAAGTGCAAACGTTATCTAGGTCTGATTGTAATTGCTCATAGATTCAAGCGAGCAGCCGTATCTGTTCAATGCCATAAATCGATCTTCGATCTCAAATAACGTGTAATTTTTCATGCTGTCATAGATTTTGCTATGAATCTTCTCCGCGATATCTATGAAATTTATACACTGATTTTGGCCAGCTGTATTATTCCCGTATTTATTCTAAAATAATAAGCTATAATGTAATAAGCTGTCACAGATTGCTTAAAAATGCATCTTTTATACTTTTTATTCAACCTACTAGTTAGATATATATACTATCATTTTCTCTAATTTATAGAATACGTAATTTTATTGTATACGTAATTTTATTGTATGCCATTATTTTAGGACAATTATTTTATTTTAATATTGTGATACAGTTGAGATATTATGATGTTATTGATATATCGAAGCTAATAAATTTAAAGTTAGTAGTGATTTCTTATCTAGAAAATATGGATTCTTGATTAGAATTAGATTAAGAAATTGAATAATGCGAATAATGATGGTATAATATATAAATAATGGTGATATTATAATATTATTTTTCTTAAGCATATAATTAGAATATATAATTCTTTCTAACTAAAAAGGTAAATAGCGCGCACAGTGCGCGCTTGTGTCCCTAGTTTAACAAAATTACTTAAGAGAAAAGAAGTCCATTTCTCTATCAAAACTTATCGAAATTTATGAAAATAAATATCTATCTTTACTCAATATATCCTACATTATTCAGAAACGCCGATATTATTTTTGTACGCAGATGAATAACTCTGTCAAAATAAGTTTTAACAAAAATATTTAAACATATTCACAATTTTACGATTTAAAAATATTTAAAATATGTAAAAATATTTAAAATATTTAAAACATTTAAAACATTAAATATATTCTCCATTTAAATACAGGTATTTAAAGATAAGCTTAAAGCTTTAAAAACTATAATTATTCAGCAAATAAGAATAAAATGATGATACGAAATTTACAAAAATAATTTGGTGCACTTTATAAAAAAAAAAATACGACGATGATGTCATATCTGAAAATAAATCAGAATAAATGCATACATATAATAATTTGTTTATGTACTCATATCTGTTGAGTAAATTACATCTATTTATTTCTGCAATCAACATATTAATTGCATTTAACGCAGTTAAATAATTAAAAAAAATACGCGTTTTTTTGATATAGTCATAATTTGAAAGTAGTTTTATTTTATATACATAAATAATACATTATTTGTCCATTATTTCTCACAAAACCGTATATTCGTGTATATACTGCAACGTCTCTTTCGCTAAGATGTTATTACTGTACATACTCGGCATGAGATGCTCCGGGTGTTTTGGTAATTGTTAGCTAGATTTGACTGACGTATCAATATTTACATACAAATGAAAAATCATGCGTCTTCTTTTGTCCTGTTTTCTACTTTTCGATAGAAAGGTTCTTGTATCATATTCAGTTATACGCGTTCAGTCACTTCAAACGGACACAATGTCACTCATAACTAAAGAACATGGGAATATTATATAAATCTGACGGATTTTAAAGCACAGTGCAAGTATTGTAAAATTAAATTTAATTATATAGAAGATGCAAACTTTTTAAACGTCATATAAAAAGTTTCCATACAAAAATTTGGGAATACGAAGAAGAGAGAAAACTAATAAAAAAGCCATGGATGTATTTCAAGTATTTAAACCTATTATTTTCACAATGTATTATCTGTGATGCAAAATTTCTGTCTACATCTAAATCTGAGGATTTAGAAGATCACTTGAATTCGCATTCTGAAAAACAACGGTGGAATCATATACTTCGAAGTTCGAAAGGGAAATATTGGACACAGCGAAATAATTTTGTGGTGGAATGTAATATTTGTCACACCAAGTTAAATCTTTATATTCACCATTATCTGGATATTCATATAAGAAAGACACATTCTGACAAATTGAAAAATATGCAAGAGACACATGACCCAGTTGATTCGTCAGAACGTGTTTCATCACTTGAAACGAACATAACTTTTATGCCACTATGTATTGCAACTAAAAAACATATATGGGAATATTATACAAAGTTGACGGATTTTAAAGCACAGTGCAAGTATTGTGAAGTTAAACATATTTATATAAATGATTCAAGCTTTAAACGTCACATAAGACTATTCCATAAAAAAATTTTGGAATTCGAAGAAGAGAAAAAACTAATAAAAGAGCCATGGATGTATTTCAAGTATTCAGATCAACTATTATTACAATGTATTATTTGCGATGCAGATATTCTGTCTACATCTAAATCTGAAGATTTAGAAGATCACTTGAGTTCGCATTCTGAAGAACAACGGAAGAATCATATCCTTCAAAATTGGAAACGGAAATATTGGACACAACGAAATGATTTTGAGGTGGAGTGTGATATTTGCAACAACAACATATCTCTTCAAATTCATAGACATCTCGATTTTCATATAAGAAATAGACATTCGGACAAATTGAAAATTATGCAAGAAACACATGAGCCTGTTGATTCGTCAGAACGTGTTTCATCACTTGAAACGAACATAACTTTTATGCCACTAGATATTGCAACTAAAAAACATATATGGGAATATTATATAAATCTGACGGATTTTAAAGCACAGTGCAAGTATTGTGAAATTAAATATATTTATATAAATGATCAAAACTTTAAACGTCACATAAGGAAATTCCATATAAAAATTTTGGAATTCGAAGAAGAGAAAAAACTAATAAAAGGGCCATGGATGTATTTCAAGTATTCAGATCAACTATTATCACAATGTATTATTTGCGATGCAGATATTCTGTCTACATCTAAATCTGAAGATTTAGAAGATCATTTAAATTCGCATTCTGAAGAACAACGGAAGAATCATATCCTTCAAAATTGGAAACGGAAATATTGGACACAACGAAATGATTTTGTGGTGGAGTGTAGTATTTGCAACAACAACATATCTCTTGATATTATAAAAAATCTCGATTTTCATATAAGAAAGACACATTTGGACAAATTGAAAATTATGCAAGAAACACATGACCCAGTTGATTCGTCAGAACGTGTTTCATCACTTGAAACGAACGTAACTTTTATGCCATTAGATATTGCAACTAAAAAACATATATGGGAATATTATATAAAGCTTACGAATTTTGAAGCACAGTGCAAGTTTTGTGGAAATAAATATATATATATAGATAATGGAAACTTTATACGTCATATAGCAAAACTCCATGAAAAAATTTGGAAATACGAAGAAGGGGAAAACTAAGAAAACGGCCATGGATGTATTTCAAGTATTTAAACCAATTATTTTCACAATGTATTATTTGTGATTCAAAAGTTCTATCTACATCTAAATTTGTAGGAGATCACTTGAATTTGCATTCTAAAGATCAACAGAACAGTCATACATTTCGAAGTTGGACAGAGAAATATTGGATACAAAGAAATGATTTTGTGGTGGAGTGTAATATTTGTCACGACAACTTACCTCTTTCTATTCAGGAATGTTTGGATTCTCATATAAAAGGGACGCATTCGGACAAATTAAAAAATACGCAAGAAACACATGACCTATTTGGTTTATCAAATCGCATTTCATCACATGAAACAGACAGAACATTTATGTCACTAAAAGATAGTTACGTATTGTTAAAGAGATGTCCACCTTACAATCTTTACATATAAAAAATATATTAAAAATTTTAATGTTGAAGAAAAATATATTTCAATTCATTTGCGTGAAATGCATTATTTGTGTTGAGAACATTTTATTTTTATTTTAATTCAAAATTTGAAAGATTATTAACGCTCGCATTCAAGCGTTCTAAAGAACAATTAAAAAACATACATTTCAGAATTGACCATATACCAGGGGGTACATACTAATAGTGATGATTGAAGTAATCTGTAATACTAGTCACAGAAGCACATCTGTTGCTATGATAACGCATTTCAATGACCATGTTAAAGATGAACATCATTTGAGAAGCCAACTAAACTGAAAAAATTGTAAGTTTGATTGTTAATATTAGTGTTTTTCTTAATATTATTATATATAATTAATTTTTTATCTTTTTCAAATCGCGTTTAATTTATTAAGAATTTACAATATAACGATCACAGCAAAACCAGACAATTTCTTTTTTCATGTATTTTATAATTGTTTATATAGATTTATTCTCCCTCAGAAGGTGACATGATAAAAATGATAGAAATGAGTATGATGATAACGGCGTCCAAGTACCAATCAGCAATAATGGCAGTTTTGATTTTGACGATTTTAATTTACTAAAATTTAATATATCCAAGAAAAGTGGCGTATATAGATGTGACGTATAATTATTTGTTTTATGTTATAAAATTATGAATATGATTTTGAATTTATGTTTTATAATAAACAAAATTACATTTTTTATTATATTAACTATAATTATGAATTTTATTACGTACTTATGTTTTAAATTCATAAACTAATTAATTATATCTGTTATTACAATCTGCGAAATGTCATGCTTTAATAGCATATTGATACTTTGTCATGGCAAAACTAATGCGTGCGTTGAAATGACGAAGGCCAACTCTATAAGGTCATATATTATAATTTCCCGATACAACTGCAATATAAATTGTGCATATAATAGAAAAATAATTAGTATATATTAGAAAGGCAATATAAATAAATTATGAAGTAACAGAGGGATATTCGCTAAAATAATTATTATTCGGTTTTCCACATATGTATTTAGATTCATGTACAGTTTCCTCCAAATATATCAAATGCTTATTTCTTAACGTCTACGTCTGCGTCGAACGTTCTTCGTATCATAATAATATTTTATATTCTCTAGAATGAGTATTGTAAATGAGATGAGTATTCCGCAACAGAGTATTAGAAAAATCAAGTGCACTTGATGCAAATCGATCGTTTTGAACTTGTTTTGTTCTTTATTTTCTAGCCTGATATTTAGCCAACGATCCTTTAGAGCGTCCATTATACCGACTTCGTTGAATTTGATAAGTCTGGAAAATAGAGAATAACAGTGAAAAAAAAAATTTAATTTATATAATAAATTTTTTAATATTGGACGTACAGATAATGACTAATTTATTTACGCGATACTTACGTTGAGTCAATGGTTTTCTTGTAGCGGAAGTCCTTCTTAAGTGCGAACGTTATCCAAGTCTGATTGTAATTGCCTATAGACTGAAGCGAGCAGCCGTACCTGTTTAATGCCATAAATCGATCCTCGATCTCAAACAACGCGTAATTTTTCATGCTGTCGCAGATTTTCCTATGCATTTCCTCTGCGATATCTATGAAATGTATGCGCTGATTTTGGCCAGTTGTATTATTTCCATATTTATTCTAAAATAATAAGCTATAGTGTAATAAGCTGTCACAGATTGCTTAAAAATGCATTTTATATATTTTTCATTCAATTTTTTAGTTAGATATATATACTATTATTTTTTCTAATTTATAGAATACGTAATTTTATTGTATGCCATTATTTTAGTACAAATTTTTAATTTTTTTTCAATTATTATAAAAATTATTTTTTCTGTGAGCAATTGTTTTTAAAAGTGATTAATATTAAGATTAATTAAAATTCCTGTATTAATAGAAAAAAATTGTAGATCTAAAAACTTGAATCTTAGATATTTACATGAAGGTAATTGAAGAGGAAAGAACCACGGAATGCTAATAGAACATATTTAGTACTGTTAAAAAGTGTTTCTATGTCTGTAAACGGCAACGTCGTTTCTCTATTCGTCATGCGATATATGAGATGGGAGCTGAAGGCTAACAATACTAGCCACGCAAATATGCTTTTCGATAGCGACAAGATCTTGAATTTGTTGTGATAAGCGTCAGGTATATAGCCTGTAAAAAAGCGGATACTAATTTATCTCATTCCAATTTTTTGATGCTTAACTAATGTATAAATTGATGTACGAAAATATCTTTCACATATGTTATCATTCAACTTATATTAGAAATATACACAAATTTTTATTAATTACTGTTACAAATACGCTTTCGCTTAATTTATTTCTTATCACATTAAGCACCTTGCGCACACATCATAGCGAAAGAATGGAAAAAATGATCGCCTAGACTGAAATTTGTGCAGTCTTTCTTCTTGCGTTTAGAATCGGTCGGTATTTTTTGTAAAAAATAACCGACGCAGCTTATAATGATGAACAGGAAAACTATAGAATACCACGTTTTCGGGGAAAACAGCGTAAATACCCACTTATTATCATATAGCCGTTCCGGTTGAACATAAATATGAAACCTGAAACTTCAATTCATTAATGTCTGCTGATGATATCAGAAAATTCTCTCATTTTCTTTTTTTTTATTAAATTCTACAAAGAGAAAATATTTAACTAATAATTCGAAAACGTGTTATAGATGAGCAACTTTTCAGTTGCAATTTATTACTGAGCGTGGATTGACGCGAAACCTCACGTGCTTTTCCAAAGAGGTATCGTATAGTCCACGACGTTCATACGAGCTTTAAAAAATCCGCTTCTCAGGATTACTTGTACTTCGTCACGTGCAAGCATGCCAACTAGACCTTTATAACTGCCATTTTCTGTTCTCTGACCGAAATCTCGATTCGTAGTTTTTATCGGAACAAACCTGAGAGAAAATATAATAATTTTTAATTATTGGATAAGTAGCTGAGCGAATGAAGCTCACGATATAAGATCTGTGCAGTATTGCGTAGAAAATTGTACTGTTCACTGTGACGTACGTAAAATTCAGATAATCCGCAAGAAGATACCACAGCTCGCCGCAAATACCGCCGACTTTCGTATTATTGTCGTAAAACATCACCATATTCTTTTCCTGCGAACATATGAAATTTCCAGACAACAGAGTATCTAACAGACGTCTCCAAAAAATGTGGAACATTTTTGAAATGTCTTTTAGACACTCGAGTGTTATTTTTGTTTGATATTATATCTACATCTTGATTAGAATCTTTGCACCTCATAATACACAGCTTTCACTACTTCGTGCTTCATATCGAGCTTCTCTTCAGCTTCATATCGAGCTTCTTTCAGCTCTATATTTGGCGAGGGTTTCCTCTTGAAGAGCGGCGAATTGCGGGATACTGAACAACTGTACGAATTCTTGCTTCTGTTTGCGCCAAATTATTCCATTTACAGCGCAACAGCTCGCGATCGCGAACTGAAAAATTGCGATCGTTAAAACGCATCGTGCAGCCATTCCTCGCAAACTTCTATCCTTGAACTACTTCTACGTCGTTTCACGTCGCGTAGAATATAGGTAAGCAAGGGTATATATAGAGATTGCAGTTTTTAACCCCGTACATCACCCCGGTGTGTTTATTGTTTTCCTCTAATGGGCCCATGTCAATCTTAATGGACAGTTGTTGCGAGATTGGCGAAGATCGATATGTGATATGGAGATAAGTCATTTTTCAAATTGATAGACGTCACGCAACGTAATCACATTCATCGGTAATGATTCAGTTAGATGGCTTCCAAACTGATCAGATCTTTATTCTGCATGTCAATTTATATTTTTATTAGAAATATTGAAATAATTGATGTTTTAATTTTTTACAATCTTCTTCTGCTTGAATTCTTTCAGAAATGTGATGTTTTTAACTGTTCTTTTATAGAATTTGCAGATATGATCATCATAAGATTGAATTTTGCAAGAGTTTCATAATTATTCGAATTTAAGTGTAAAAAAAGCATAATTAATATATAGGAGAACATAAGAAAATCAAAATTTTATTATTTATACGTGACAATGTTTAATTAATAATTTATTATAATTTAATAATTACAGCATTAATTATTACAGCATTAATTATTACAGCATTAATTCTGACTTAGCAATAGCGGCCATTACAATATAAATGCAATATTTTCTAATCGCGTAGAAATTATAATTTGCAAATAAATTTTCTGTAGAATATGTTCGCGATGGTTGTGAAAATGTAGTCAAAATTACTTCGGTTTATAAGCATACATGATTTTTTTGATTGCAGGAATAATGAAAGCTATTATTATTTCACAGCACATCACTTCAATTACTAAAGAAACTTGATCCATTCTGATCGTTTCCGTTTTATTGACATTAATATCGTTTTGCAATGTCTGTGGCTGCCGACGTTCTATCAACGCATCCAAAAGTCCAACTTCCATCAATTTGAGTATCCTATTTATGAAAATCATTTATTCATATGTAATCAACTATCATGATTATATTATAATTCCTGTCGACATTTTTGTTACCCAAGATCAATAGTTCTTTTATATTTGAAATTTTTTGCGACGCCGGCAGCTATCCACATTTGCAAGTAGGGCCTTCCAACCAGAGTCAGGCGGCATATAATACCTCTTCTTATTTCAGACTCATCTTCACCTTGAAGTAAAACGTTACATTTTTCTTTCGTGGAACATGCCATTTTGAACATATCCTTGACTGTTGATACAGCGATATCGCGTTTTGCTCCTCTAACTCGTACGAAAGTTTCGCGAGTACTTACCTATAAATTAGAACAAATATATTTGTAGCAGAAAATTTTAAATCTAAGTTATTAAATTATATATTAATAAATGATAAATATTGTTACTTATCTTAAACGTGATATCTGCAATAGAATCCTTTAGATTCACGGCACTATATTTAGCATGTATTATCATAGAATCGAAAGAATCGAATGATGGTATAAAAATACGTTTTGCCATATAAATAGACAGCACAGTATCAAATACCATGTGCAATACAGAACAAAAAGGACCAGCGATATTTCTAATATCCATGATCTTCTAGAAAGAGAATGGGGAATATAGCATATTACAATTATTTATATTAATAACTTTTAAATATTTAATAAATGAGTCTCTTAATGTTTTTTTTCTTAATAATTATTTTCGCATAGCAAATTTTTGCATTGTTACTTTATTTTGTTGCAATGTATATTTATTTATAGTAAATTAATTTACTTCTGAACAAAAGTAAATAATATTGCACATAAACTGATTATTTGTACGTACTTTGATTGCAGAGATTTCCGAAATTATAAAATAAATGTTCACTGAAACGCGCAGTTGTATATTTATGTTCAGTTTGTGGTGAAATTCTTTCTGTTAAAAAGGTGCGTACGCTTAGTAGTATATGCATAACGAATATGCCACACCACATTTTTCAAGAGAAAACTTATCATCCATGCGTTGTCGGGCATCATTTCGCGACGAATGTACACACAAATACTGTCTGTAAAATTATTTAAAATTATTATTAATATTATGATACACTTGAGTTATTAAGATGTTATCGATATATCGAAGCTGCTAAATTTTTTTAGTTAGTTGTGATTTCTTATTTAGAAATCAAGATTTCTTGATTTCTAGTAATTAAGAAATTGAATAATACGAATAATACGAATAATGATGGCCATTATTTATATAATATGTAATATATAAATAATGGTGATAATATAATTTCATTTTTTTAAACTAATAATTATAATATATAATGCTTTGTAACTAAAGAGCTAAATAGCGCGCACAGTGCGCGCTTGTGTTCCTAGTTGAACAAAATTACTTAAAAGAAAAGAAGTCCATTTGTCTATCAAAATCTATCGAAATTTATCAAAACCCGTATCTTCATTCAATATATCCTACATTATTCAGAAATGCCGAAATTATTTTTGCACGCAGATGAATCACTGTGTCAAAATGAGTTTTAACAAAAATATTTAAACATATTTAAAAAATTTTAAAATATTTAAAATATGTAAAAAATATTTATAAAATATTTAAAATAATAAATATTCTCCATTTAAATACGAGTATTTAAAATTGAGTCTAAAGCATTAAAAACTATTATTATTGAGCAAATAAGAACAGAACGATGATACGAAATTTAAACCAATAATTCGGGGCACTTTGTAAAAAAAAATAGACGATGATGTCATATCTGAAAACAAATCAGAATAAATGCAGAATTTATGCATTCATATCAGTTGAGTCAATTACATCTATTTTTTTCTGCAATTCGCATATTAATTGCATTTAACGCAGTTAAATAATTCGTAAAAGTACACGTTTTTCTTGATATAACCATAATTTGAAAGTTAGTTTTTTTATATGCATAAATAATATATTATTTGTGCATTATTTCTCACAAAACCGTATATTCGTGTATATGCTGCAAACGTCTCTTTCGCTGAGATGTTATTACTATACATACTCGGCATGATATGTTACCGCATGTTTTGGTAATTGTTAGCTAGATTTGACGTATTAATATTTACATTCAAAGGAAAAATCATGCGTCTTCTTTCGTCCTGTTTTATACTTTTGAACGGAAAGGTTCTTGTATCGTATTCAGTTATACGCGTCACTTCAAACGGACACAATGTCACTCATAACTAAAGAACACATATGGGAATATTATATTAATCTGACGGATTTTAAATCACAGTGCAAGTATTGTAAAATTAAATTTATTTATGTACAAGATGGAAACTTTAAACGTCATATAAAAGGATTACATACAAAAATTTCGGAATACGAAGAAGAGAGAAAACTAATAAAATGGCCATGGATGTATTTCAAGTATTCAGACGAATCATTTTTACAATGTATTATCTGTAATGAAAATTATCCCTCTACATGTAAGGCTGAAGATTTAGTAGATCACTTAAATTCGCATTCTAAAGAAGAACGGAAGAATCATATACTTCATAAATGGACACGGAAATATTGGACACAACGAAATGATTTTGAGGTGGATGTAATATTTGCAACACAATATATCTCTTCAAAATTCAT